ATAGTGAAATATAGCAGAATGTAACATGATATGATACAATATGATGGGTTTAGGGTTTTGGGTTTTGGGTTTTGGGTGTTGGGTTTAGGGTTTAGGGTTTAGGGTTTAGGGTTTAGGGTTTTAGGGTTTAGGGTTTAGGGGGTATAATAAAATGTCATATAACATAATGTAATATAATACCATATTCTGTACTCTACTCTACTCTACTCTACTCTACTCTGCTCTACTATCCTATACTATACTACACTGTACTATAACAAGATATAAAGTAACATACTGTAAAACAATGTACGTTAATGTAATGTAATATGATATGGCAAAATCTAATCGAATGCAATACATTAAAATGTTATATATCTTCATATTGTAGCATATCGTGTAGCACAATATGCATCTTGTACTGTACTGTACTGTATACTATTGCAAAATATCGTATAGTATTGTGAAGCAGTGTATCGTATCTGTACAGTAGCGTATAGCGTTGTACCATATTGTATAGTCTAGTCTGGTCTAGTCTAGCATGGTCGAGTAATTTAAAGCAAAATAATGTAATATAGGGGCCTTCATAATCAGAATATGGTTTTGGGGCCCATTATACTACAGTTGTAATAAGGAGCCCCCAACAGAGAATAGGTAATTATTAAGACCCCTATATTACCGGTCCTTGACCTCCGGCTTTTCCTCCTCCGGCTTGGCAGCCTGTCCAGGACTGAGGCAGGGGAAGCTGACGGGTCATAGAACCAACTTTGTATACAAGGTTATAATGGGTAGTTCTCTAAATTAGGGTCCCTCGTTTATACGAGTGCCGTACTATGTTGGGGACCCAGAAAGGGACTAATTTAGAGAACGGTCTAAGGTCTAGGACTTAAGGCCTGAACCCTAAACCCAAGCTCAGGGTTCTCCCAAGGGTTTCTGCACAGGGCGTTGTAAGGGTTTCTTTCTGTAATCAACGACTCTATAAGGGTGGTTTCGACAAAACGTCCCCGGTCAAGACTCTAAAACACCAAAATTCTGAAGCAGTTGCCGTCAAAGAAGAAGAAAAAATCTCTGCACTTGAAGGCACCTTCCTGCATGTAGACAGAGGTTTTGGAGTCTCTGAGGGCTTGATCAAACCCTTTTTTGAGCCCTTTGGGGTCATAAAACAACTTAGAGAAGAACACGAGCAACGAAAAAACACAAAACAAGCCCTCCAGACCCGAGGCCTTCATATAGCGTCCTTAACAACTAGTGCATTGGAACGAGCTATTGGGGCCACCTGTTACTACTTTTTTGTGGGGGAGCCCTCAAGAATACCGGGCCCCTGCATGAACCTTACTTCTTCTCCTAACCTCTGGGATTATACCGGGATGATTGCGCCCCAAAAAAACTACTTACTCTACCTCTGAGTCTAAGTTACAGTTCTATCCATTCCTCCAGGAGGCCCTCTCTCTCTCTCTCTCTCTCTCCCTAAACCCTATAAACCCTCAACCCTAAACCCTAAACCCTCGACCCAGAAAACCCTCGATCCTCAACCCTAAACCCAGAAAACCCTCAACCAACCCCAAACCCTAAACTCTAAACCTGGGCCTCGGAGGCGGCGCGCTTTACACGGCGCTCTTCCTGGCAGGGTGTCTGCGAGGATTCGTCTAAGCGCTGAGGGGTTTAGGGTTTAGGGTGTTCCTTATCTTGTTTGGGGCTTAGAGTCTATGGTTTAAGTTTCGGGTTTGATAAGGGTCTCAATTAAGGGGCTTCATAGGGGTTCCTATAAGCGTATTCATCAGTTTTAAGGGTGGCTAACATTAGGGGCCTGATTAAATACAAGAGTGGTGTGGGGCCCGTTATACCACACTTATAAGAAGGAACCCCAAAAATGGTTTTGGTCATTATTTAAGCGCCAACATAAGGATTTAGAGTTGAGGCCCCTCCTATTTTTAGGGTTTAGGGTTCCCTCCTTGGTTGGGAGTCCTGAGGGCACAAACAGCCGACTCCAAAAGGCATCCTACTTGCGCCCCAAGGCTCTAAGGGCTCATGTTTGCAGTATTTTGGGCCCAAAGACCATTCTATAAAAAGTATTTTGGCTATTGTGAACCTTACGCCTGTATAGCTGGAAGTCTTCGTGCAGTTCCATTCCGGAGGTTTGTCAAAAATCCTGGGACCTGAAAAATGAATTGGTACAGGTGTAATTAGTTTGCGGGTGTGTTCGAGTCTCGTCTAGTTATGATGAAGAACGAAGGGAATAGTGTACCAAGTGCTGAGGCTTCTGCAGTAGACAGCGCAAAACATGCACTCAGGCATACATGCCATCGCCCTGCTGCACGTAGTCCACGCCGGACTGTAAACAGGTGTGCCTAGTTCTGACCCTGAATCCTAAACCCTAAACCACCAAAACGACTGCGTCGCAAATACATGGGAAGCGCTCTCCTCCAAGGCTCATTTGCACTTCTAGGTCAGATCACAAGTAGGGTGTATATGTGCATAACGACGCTTAACCCACGCTTGCTGCAGCGACCAAGGAGCTGAACACAAAAAGCCTAGACCCTAATTTTAGCACGTATATAGGGGCCTTAATACTTACCTATACTTAAAGGTCCTGCGTCATGGCCGTCGTGCCAGACACGACCCGATTCTTCGCCCTGTCAGCCTTTGGTACTTAGGCGATGAGTAGGGCTTGAGGTTCAACGGTTTAGGATTTAGGAGGTTAAGGAGTTTAGGGTTTAGTGTTTCAGGGTCCAGGGTTGTTATCTAGGCGAGAGTCGGGGTTAGGTTTAGTTAAGGGTTCGGGTTTGGTTTAGGGCTTGGGGGTAGGGCTTATGATGTTGGGCTCAGGGTCTCGGGATGCTATTTAGGCTAGAATAGGGTTTAGGGCTTAGGGAGTCTAAGCCTTAGGGCTTAGGGTTTCGGGTCTAAGGTTGCTGTTTGTGCTAGAGTCTAGAGTCGGGTTTGGGGTTTAGGGTCTGAGGGGCCGTTGGCGGGGGTGCAGAATAGGAGAAGCTTTAGCAAGTCTAACAAGCTTTAAGGGCCTAAACCCCTAAACCCTAAACCCCAAACCCTGACCAAAAAACCTAGAGCTACTCCATGAACTCTAAAGGCTTCAAGGGGTCTTTCAAACCTCTGCTATAGGCTCGGTGGTGCAGGGCTTGGGTGGGTAGCTGCACGGCGCTAGAGGCCTCGTGTGTGTGTGTGTGTGTGTGAGGATCAGAAAATCACCTATGTATATGGGGGGTGTCCGAAAATAGGGGGTCCTAGCATGGTACCCTAAATAGTAGGATCCTTCTTATAAGGACCCCAGAATAAGGTACCCCTTGTTCTCTGAAACTCCCATAAAACTTCCTAAACCCTGAGCCCCGTACATCCAAACCCTAAACCCTAAAACTCTAAACCCCGTCGGCCATAAAGCCCCTTGCCCCCTTGAAACCCCCAACGCCCCCACCCCCGAGAAAGCAAACAAGAACTGCATAATGCCGTGTAAGCTCCTGATATTCATCCCCCCCCCCCAAAAAAAAACCCTAAACCGCAAACCACAAAAAGTACTAGGAAGAAGAAAAAGAAGAATAGGAATAGTGGTAATAGAAGAATAATACTAAAGCCAAGAATCATAATACGAGCAATACTACGATAACTTTAAAAATAATGGGCCACCGGGCCATCTTCATGAGGATGGAGGTGGAGGACTTCGTCATCAGCTGCTTTGGCCCTCCGCCGCCCTGACCACCTCCGACCTTATGGGTTTAGGCTTTATAGGCTTCATGTAGGGGCCTTAATAATTGGAATAGGGTTCTGGGGGCTCTTTATTAAAATTCAGGTCGAATATACCCTCCAAACCCTAGTCTAATTATTGAGGCCCCTATATTAGGTCTTAGGGTTTAGCGTCTTGGGCTTGGGGTTTAGGCTTCGGGCTTAGGATTTAGAGCTTTCGAGCTTGATGGGTTCAAAACTGTAGGGTGCGGGACTACTTACGGTTTCAGGGTTCAGGGTTTCAAGGTCCATGGCTCCAGGATTTGGGGTTTATTTTTTAGGGTTCAGCAGCATTCACACATGCAGACACACAAGCTTACACACATCTGTAATTGGGGATATATGCACATCTGCATGTGTGAGTATATATATATATATGTATATATATATATATGTGTATATATATATATATATACATATGTGGCATGGACCTTGAGGGTCTATTTGGCAATCCGGTTTGTTTAGGGCTTTAGGGGAAGTCAGCGAAACGACGACGACGCACACACACACACACAGACACACAGGCACACAGACACACAGACACACAGACACACAGACACACAGACACACAGACACACACACACACAGACACACACACACACACACACGCGTCACACGCACGCACGCACAGATATATATATATATATATACGCGAATTTTATGTATGTAAGTACGTATGTCGGCAGGTATCTATGTATATGTATATGTATATGTATACGTGTATATATATATATATATATATATGTATATACATCATGTAAATGACGAAATACAGTTAAACATATATATATATATATATAATACATATATATATATATATATATATATGTGTGTGTATACATATACACCTATGTGTGTGTATATATATATATATATATATATAACGTGCTTTCGCGTGTACATGTATATTCTTCCACTCTCACACACACACACACATCCAAGCGTTACATGCACGAACAATATCATGCCGCGCCATGCTCTAATCCCAGGTGCCCATCGTCTGCACGGCACACCTGGCCGTACGACAGCGTTCCATCGCCAGTTTTGTGAGGTCCTCGATCCCGACTCGACAGAAGCCTGGGCTGTTTCTTGCACATGGAAGCCTGTCAGTCTAAGGTTCTGTGGCACCGTCGCAATCGCCGTCGTTCAGGTCTACACGCTTGTCTCAGGACTCAACTTAATTCGATCGCTGAGCCCGAGACAAATCACTGCAAAAGCTGCCACAAAAAGTCGCAAGCCAAGTCATGCGCAGAAACCTCCCCAAACCCTTAAGATGCCCGAGGCACCCCAGGGCTTGTCAGGTGTTGCTGGCCAGCCAACGGTCATGCCAGTTCCTGTGCTCTCTCCGATGGAGAGACCCCACCTGAGCCATGGTTTTTCTAACACCCAGGAGGTCAGTGATCAGAAAGTATATCGAAGGTAGACCCAAACACACTGCTTTGAATGCAGTGCTACTTGCTTCCCGTGCCACTGCCACTGCTACTGCCACTGCTCCTACTACGACCACGACTGACTACGACTGCGACTACGACGACGTCGACGGACGACAAAAGTTACTTGAAAGGGGCTCCTCATCAAATTACAACGGTATGGATGGCTTTGACCATTTGGCAGTTGTTACGGCTGGCTACGGCCGCCAGCCACTCTGGACTCTCGACCCCAAGCCCTACAGAATGCAGCCGGACCAGAGCTGGCAGGAGGGAACCCGAAGCGTCCTTTCAATCTGCATTAGGCTTGAAACCGTGCCGACCGCTTCTGGGCATGAACCACTTGAGATGATCCTCAGGCACGTGACTCGTTCTGCATGCCATACTCAGTGTCCCAGTACGCCCAGGTCTCCTGATCGTCAGCTGGGCGGCGGGACAAGGCGGACTAAGCCTACCGTGCCGGGATGCGGCACCATCAGCCTCGGCCTCAGACCCCAAAACACCATGGCACCCCGAAGCGTCAACCCGCGAAAGCCCGAGTCCAAATCACCCGAATCCCTGCAGACTCAAGTCACACCGACCTCCACTTGGGGGATCTCTCCGATGGGCACGAACTCCTCGGTCCATTTGCGAGTGGAGATCCTACTTTCCACAGTCTGGATGCAGCCGTCGTATTTTCAGAAGATATTTGACACCATGACCCGATACCATACACGGCGACTCACTTCAGGCGGCACGTAAAAGAGCCTTTACATGGCGAAGGCAACAGTTTCTGCAGTGCCACTACGTGCTACGCACCTCATTCTGGCCCAGGCCAGGCGAGGTTGGTTATCAGCGTAGATGCTCATGGTCCGAAGCGAGTTCTGGCATATTTGCGGGTTGGCTTCCTTCCGAAGCTTTGGTGTTGACAATATCTTCGTGATGAGGACAACCAGGAGCACCGAGTGTAATTCAATCTGTGGAGGCCCTGTCTGATCCAAAACAGCTTGCGTGGTTGGAGCAAGTCTCTTCTTGACCATCCACCGGCTCGTATGCAGGCCCCAGCGATGATGTCACCATGCGGGGATATGGGATGTGCCTTTGCTGCGCAGGATTGTCTAAAGGAACCGAATGTCTGGGGTGCAGATTCTGGAGACAACATGCAAAGTGGACTGGCAGCACAACCGCATCATGCATCGTACTCGACAATCATGGTTGCAGTTCGAGACAATGCCCCTGCACGCTACCAATATGTTCTTGCAGGAAGTCACCGTTTTTGCAAGCGGGACTCCTTTGCCAATGTTATCTGGCACGTTCCGAAGAAAGCCACAAATCTTGACAACCGCATAGGTATAGTTCTCTAGATTAGGGTCCCTTTTTAGGTTCCCAAAATAGTACGGCACCCTGATAAAAACTCTTCCCTTTTAAAAGGGAACACCATTTCGAGAACTACCCCACCCTAATAGGTGTCTAGAAGAAAATCCAGTCCCAAGAGGCCACTCGAACAGCTTCCGTGTGCTGCCTTTTGGCCACTTCTGCCGCGGCACCCGGACCTCGGCTGATAGCAGTCAACGCCGGCTTTCGCTGACTATGCCGTGTATACGTGTAGTGAGTTGGGATCTATGCTTTCTTCATTCAGCGCACTGAAGCATCTGAGTTCGCTGTACGTGACAATCGTACCCGAAAGCTGTCTAAATTCGAGGCAAGACCAAACCTCTCTCCGCTGGAGACTACACGGGGAGCAGTTTCCCTCGTTGTAGGAGACATATCTTAACTCGCTAAACAAAAAATGCTACAGCTCAGGTGCCAAGCGCACGTCCGTGGTGCTTGGGCCGCTGTCGTCGCTGTGGCTCACCTGAGATGGCTCGGGCCTGATGAGGGATCGGCATGTGGGATCCGCATGTGGGCTTGGATTCTGAAAGTCTTGTCTTGCGCTTCCGCGAGCCACGAAGAGCAGGACCTACGAAGACTTCCTCTCCTCCGAAAAACCTCTCCCAAATCAGCTCAGCTGCTATGGGAAAGCCTGTCGCGCTGGCATCCTTCCTGCAAGGTGAGCTTGTCTGCTTGGGGGGCAGCAAGCCAGCAAGTTGACACTTCTCCACACTATCCTCCGTTCATGAGCAGCCTGCAGACTGGGACATTCTGAGGCACCGGGGGGCTCCAAGATTTCACAATGCCATGGAAGTCTGGAGGAAGGACGTGGTTTCAGCTCATTGGAGCTCGGAGCCTCCAACGAAGGATCCCGGTGGGACACGCGCCCAAAATCATTCCGGGATGGGTTGCAGCACATTGCAACCAGGTCGCCCCACTGCCACGATCGTGCAGCCATGCGCACCAGCCAAGCCCAGCGCTGCACAAATCCGCCGCATGGCTGGGCAATGCTGATTTTGCAGTTTTTGCAATGTTGAGCGCATATTTGGAGTTGAGAAGTATGAAGTGTGAAGCATGGGTCTCGAGGAGATTGGCTCACCTATGTTGCCTATGGCTCCTTCGACCTCTGCAGTTTACTGCAAGCTTGGGATCGGTGGTGTGTCCTTCACGGACTCCCGCGACACGGGGCAAAATGGCTGCAAGAACCAGGCAACAGCGCTTCAGCTGGAATGAGACATCTAAGGTGGGACCAGAAAGCTTGCCGAAAGCTGATACGTACTGTAGGATGATTTTGCAAAAACATTAGCTCAAGAGTCCCGTACAGAACCTCAGTTACCTCAGACACTACGTCCCTCATCTCTTCCATCGTTGTTGCAGCTAGTGCATGCCGGGCCTCTACTGCAGCATGCCTCGGGCCCTGGAAGCATGCCACGCCCTAGAAGCCACGTGGCCCATCGATTCTACTTTAGTCCGCAGGCTTGATTTCTTATGTTCTACGGAGACCTTCTGTTGTTTTTTGAGTGTCCTCCTTAGGGTAACCATCTTACAGACTACGCTGTTGGAAGCGAACACCTTCTTAGCATGAACAGACCCTTGTTGCTACTTAGCTGCTACTTGCCCTGAGACCGGCGATACGTAACGTTATGTGACAAGTTATGTGTGTGAACATGCATATGCAGACACATGTGGGTACATCTTCAGACATGCAAAGCACATGCTGTTCGCATCTGCACGCATTCTTGTGTTGAGTGTAATACAACATACAATAGTTGAACTGCAGGTGAGGCTCACTGCATTCATCTTCAGCATCTGCCTTAGCTCGCGCGTGGCTTCTGGCTCTCCCGAGCTTTTCGGGTGTCGGGTCTCGAGCTTCGAGAAAAATTTGGACAGCCACGCAACTGCAAGATTCAGAGGTAGGGGCCCGGCCCCTGCACTCTGCTTGGACTGAACAGGTCGAAGAAGTCCTGTGCGCTCCCGGGACCACTTTTTTGGGCGAGAGGACAGAACACGGAGGCGTCGCGCTTCAGGCTAAACAGCGTTTACCACATAGCAGAAAAGGCTTGGAAAGGGTCCCCCCCCTCTCTCCAACCTCTCCCTTCCGCCTGCCTTGGTCGCTTCTGTGGGTTCCGTTTTGGTTTGGCAGTGCTCGAACTTGACAAATTCTCAGCTCTGTTCGGCCGGACACAGCGGGACGAACAGCTGCCAACATTCTAGTTGTAGTTTCGATGAAGGAGAGTGGAAAAACAAACGCGTTGCTGAGCCAAACCCTTGCCGTCAGAGTAACAGCCGAATCTGCAAGCCACTGTGCAGCAAGGAGACTGCCTTAAGGTTTTACCTTTGATGTTGTGATGTGACCGTGAGCCAGCCCCACTCCAACTCCACACGAGCCGTCGTGGCACCGAGTGCGAAGCCGATGATGAACATCGCCGTTGCTGAGGGCCGTCTGTTCAGGAGAAGCCCACCCCGGAAGCACCCAGGTGGTGGGCAAGCTTCCGATTTTCTTTTGGAAAGAACCGTCGACAGCTTCTGGAATCACGACAGAGGTGGGAAACGGGCAGAAGGCCCGAGGCTGGCAGTGAAGGATCCTTCCTTGTGAACTCGCCGGTCAAGTGGGGCAGAAATGTCACTCTACAGTGCTTATGACCGTGGTGCCAAATTCCATGGAGTCGTCCTTCGATAGTGCCTGTTGGCAACACTTGACTTAGAAGCTCGTAGAAGCAGGAGGCTTGCAGCGGCCCCTCATGAAATTGCAGTCGCCTGTCGATGTGATGAATTCTAAACGCGTTCGAAAGCCCTGAATCTCGAAGCTTGGAAACACCCTCAGACTTAAAAAAGTAAACAATAAACCCAAAACCCAAGCCCTGAACCCCATAGTAGTGGCTCTGCAAGACTTCAGTGCCGTCCTTCATGTCAGGCTCTGGGCGAGGATACGGAAGAAGTCCGAGCTCTCTGCATTCCTGGCGAGAGGAAGAGCCGATCAGCCATGCTGCAGCGATTGCCTGGCCCTGAACCTCGTCATTGCTTCTTCTCATTGATGGATGATGATGATGATGATGGTGATGATGATGATGATGATGATGGAGATGACGGTGATGATGATGATGATGGTGATGACGGTGATAATGATGATGATGATGATGGTGATGACGGTGACGATGACAAATGAGGAGTGACACGCAATAGGACAAGGAGGACGACGACGATACACAACTGGCCAAGAAAGAGACTGTGGTACATTCATGCATGCCCATGCCTGGACATTATGCGAAAACACAGGCATTGCGCGTGATCTTCAACGGCAGGGGCATGCAAATGCAGGTTCAACAGCGGCCATCTGTTTCATGCTACTGCCATTCCTGCACTCTCTGCTTATCCTGTCGGCAAAAGACATCTTCATACCCCCAGTTTCAAGTGCAGATGCTGGGGCCCACCCAACATCCCAAGTCTTGTCCAAGGGCTTCAAGATTGTCCCAACCTCTACGCTCTGCGCTCGAAATTCCCGGGCCCAACAGGTGAAGAATTACATCATGGCCTCACAGCTGATTCACTCTGTGAGGATGGCGGTAACCGGTAAGTAAGCCCTATCCACCGAAAACCTGAACCCTAACCCGGCAGCTCCTCGACGGATGTTCCGACCTCAGCTCTGTTTCCACTATATACGAAATTTATACTATATTGTATTGTACTATATAAGATTATAGATTATTATTGCATTGTAGAAAAATATTTAGATTGTAGAGTACATGCTACATATTGTATGTGTGTATATATATATGTCCTATATATATATATATATACATATATGTCCTCGAAGGTCTTAATTAGGCCGAGGACAGGAGGCAACGAAGAGTCTGACGCTCTGGGGTTCGAAAGGGATTTCGGGGGGTTTAGGTTTCAGGGTTGAGGGCCTACAGCAAGGGGTTTGGGGCCCTTTCGGTTAGAGCTTGAGGGTTTAAGGCGTTGATTCGAGAGCTGAAGGTTTGTTTGTTGAACGCCTTTTTGCGCCTGCCCCCAAAAGGTATCTGCAATCTGCTTTGGGGTTTTGGGGTTTTCGGGCCTAGGGTTTAGCTTACCGTCGTTGCTGCAAGCCCGAAAACCTTAGAAGCTGAGTTCCCTGCTGCTGCCGCAGCGACCTTGGCAACCGGCATCCAGGCGAACGGCAAAATAATTTCGATTCGGGCTGCTGGGTAACAAATCTACACTCTACATGAAAAGATGCCCAGTCCCAACACAGCCCAGTTTGCTTCGGCGAACAGTCAGCCCAGACACGAAGAAGAGAACGGGCAGCAGCATCAGCAGCACTGGCATGCCCAAAAAATGCTTCACCTCCGGAGCACGGCGGGGTCGCGGGTCAAGATTTAGGGTGCTGCGGTGCTGCTGAAGCTTCTCTGGACTGAGGTTTTACGTTGTTTAGCTGCGGGAGCTATAGGGGAACTTGAAGCGGGGGACCGAGATGTGATCGCCTTGGGTGGTACGCCTCTAGGTAAGCTCCACGATGAGGAGCTTGCATTCTGCACGAACGACCGATACGTATCAAGATTCACCTGTATGTTTGGGCACTGGAACCTGTCTCATGGTTTGAAGATACACGAGTTTAAGTTTTGCGAGAAGTTCGCAGGTTGAATGCCTGTATGAGTCTGAAGGGCTCAAGGAGACGGGCGACTCTCCAAACAAATCTGTATACGGAGAACCTTCGAAGCGTGCTTAAAGATGCTATGAAAGTACAAGCCTGACTCTTCGAATGGGCTTCGACAGTGAATCGAGGGAATGTTGAATCCTTGCTGGCCTGAGCTATGTTGGCTTCATTTTGCTTCCTTTCCTCTACCGTGTTGATCCTTCTTTGCTCTTTCCTTGCCTCTTCCTCTTTATACCGATTGGAAACCACCCTTCCTGAGCAGTGCGTGGTTCACTATCAAGGGCAAGAACAAATTCCAAGGTTCACGAAGCCGCTTAACGCTTCGGAGCTTGAATTTAATCAGGCTCCCGATTCAAGGCCGATCCTCGATTAAACTGGTCGGAAACCTGATTTAAACAGGCTGGGGGTCAAATAGGTGCGATGTCCGTTTGTCATTTAAGCGGATTCTCGGCTAAATTGGCTGGCTCGTAATTTAATCTTGCCCTCGCTTCAAGATGCTGTCAATTTAAACGGGTTTTGGATTAGATGCCTCGGAAACCAGAATTCCCTCGCTCGGGCCGCCGCTCGAAAAAACGTGATCAGAAACATTCCCCGTTCCGTAACGTATGACAGCCCAATGCCATGGACCTTGAAAGCACTAAGTCCGCAACACGCACACAGACAGACAGAGAGACAGAGA